ATCAGTAATTAAAACTATGTAAATAAAATGCAAGAAAATTAAGCAATTTGCAAATGAAACGTTTTATAACCTACATTTCATCTTGCTTTTGCCTCTGCCACCGAGAAAAACATCATTTAAATCTCTAACAAAACCTTCATTTGAGTTCAAAAGAAAACGAAATGAATTTTATTTCGAAAGGAGTTGCAAAGGAAATGAATCAATATAACTCTCCTCCAAATGGTGACATTGGGCCTGTCTTTAACGAGGTATTAATTCGTAATATACCTTCAACTGCAAATAAGAATAAGACGGTTCAACACAAAGGGACAGTTTAGTTATGAGGGCAATATTCCTCCAAACGTGAGTTCCACATCGACTTTTACAAATGTACTTCACTATTTAAATGATGAGATCTTCGCTATCCCACTACTCAAACAAAGTAAGCTTTTGAGAACATTAAAATTTTATGTAAATCTCAATGAGAACAATTTGACTTCATATATTATTTTTCAGTTTTTATACTCTCCTCAATTTGATAATCCCCTGCAAGATGTTTGCATTAAAATGAGTCTGATTCTTTTGGTGAGACAAGCTGACAACTTCCCATATCTCCTGTGAGCGCTCACGGTAGGCATAACTCACCAATATTGGGATGCATTTACTACTGTTAAATGGATCTATGAAAACAATTCATAAGTCGTGAGGAAATATAGTTAACAATGCAAAACTAACAAAGGAAATTTGTTTAAATGATGAGCACTTTATGTAGCTCCCATACTTTTAAATCCCATCTCAGTGAAATTTTGATGTAGTATGCTTTCCATTTCTGCCATGCAGTAAGCCTACGCAAACCTTTGTGGATATAATTTTCTATTAAAAAAACTTGATGACATTGAATGCAATGTTGTACACACCGCAACATTTCCGACTAATGCTACTGCTGTTTCCTCCCGAAGAAAGCGGAAGGAAATCGATTTGTTTGTGTTACATTAAATAAAGTCATAAATCTTCACTGAGTTAAAGTCTGCAACTGCCAGTTGCCCATCTGCTACGAATGTGATTCCCTGGGGATAGTGCAGACCCTCTGCGATGCAGTGGAGAAAGCCACCTTGAGGGTCATAGTGGTGGATATGACCGGTGTCATCATCATCATTATGCATTGCAACATAGATGCCCGCGCTATCTGCGCATACACCAGTACAGTATCTAACTACCTCACCATCGATGGTAGGTTTGATGGTGAACAGTGTATCACCATTCGCACTAACAACCCCGACTAACTGTTGTTCACAGTCACTGATTACAACTCGATCATTGCTGTCAACAGCCACATAACGAGGTTCAATCTTGACTGGGACGGTGCTTCTGAGTTCGCCATCAGTGGGGCTGTGTTCGGTCAGCACCATCCTCTGGACATCACCAACCACAATGGTCCCATCCGTCTTGACTGCTACACTCCAGAGGTCCACTGCAGTCTTACTGACCTCACTCGGTGGCACTGTGGGGAACTGGAAAGCCAGCGTATTGTCCTTGTCAAAGACTTTCACCCGGGATGCGTTCTCCGCCACAACCACCAAGCGATTGCCGGTGCGTGTAGCTGCAATGCCACGTGCCCCTGTTTGGAGTTGAAAGACAAAAAGAAAAGCATTAACCAACCACCCACGTTCATGAAGAGTTACAAAGCCAGAGACATACGATCAACCCTTCTCCATTCCTCGACAAATAGATCCCGGGAACCTGGAACTATCTATTATGAAATAATCAATATGAGGTTCCAGGAAGAAGTGTCAAAGAAACGGCTAACGTTTAGCTACGTCCATGCATAGCAAGTGAACAAGGATTCATGTAGAATGTATATTGAAGCCTCCCCCTCCCTGTCTAGCGAGTCCGTGGAATTTGGAATTTTTCCTTCCCTCACGACAATAAGCCCAGCCGGAGTCACTTCTCAACCTTTGTTGTTGCCAGGCTTGCGTTAAATGTTCGTAATATTAATACACTAGAACACTCGATCGTGTGGCAACGAACTTTAGGAAAAGAAAGTAAATTTTCCATCAAAATAAGGAGCAAGAGGGCGCTCTCCTCGTTACCGCCCACTACCTGTGCTGCGTAGTATTTAAACATGGACGAATGAACGCTGACAAAAAGATACTTCACAAAAACAGACATGCACTTTGAGCCTTTACGGGAAGAAACTTTGACCATGAACCATTGTGCAGATGCAACGTGTCCAACATTCGTTGCAGTGAATTCGAAGCGCATATCTGTTTTGTCGTTATGTGACATATATTTGCCTGAATGTTTAAATAAATTGTTTGATCCAGAATTTAGGTTCACTGGATTTGTTTTTAAGAATCCAGGTATTGTACAACAAGCCGCCTTGTAGTCTTTTTGGAGAGAAGAAAATTCTTTGAATGAAATATCCTGCAATACCAGGAAAAATGAATATGCCAATCTTTTTTTTTCTCCTAGAGCCTCCTCCGTCTGGGTACCATGTGACTCTGCCAAAAGCCTTTAGACTTGTTATGTGGCTTGACACCAGTGGCGTATGCAGCGGCGGCAACTTGCCCCCAACCGACGGGTTGTTTAGCCTGTTTGTTTTAGATTACGTCATAGGTGAGTAGGAAAGAAAGTATTCAGTACATTTGCAAGTACTAACTTACTCTTCAGCAACCGTGGTTCCTATTGTTCCCTATTTTTATAGGTGCACGATTTGAATAGGTATACAAACTCAAGGGCAACCACACATCAAAGGCTTGACACGTCGCTGTTTGACACCAAGCAATGGGAGACTTTGAGACGCATAGTGGCGGCAGACACAACGGTCCCTTTTGGTTGCTCTGAGCATTCGCAGGCAGTTCTAGGAATTCGTGTTAGTGCTGAGCACGCGCACAACCGAGGAGAAGGACCAGTTTGTCTGCCGCCACCATACGTCTCAAAGTCTCCCACTCCGAAATAAATGATAATATTTTTTATGACAAAACAAAGCACCAGTGTATCGTTTGTTAGCAGTTTCTACACAAACTTACATCGTTCCATCGGGATTGTGCTTTTCTGGTTACCATCGATGCTGCAGATCACAACTCGTTTGTTGAAGCAGNAAAAAAACGTGTAGCTACGTCCATGCATAGCAAGTGAACAAGGATTCATGTAGAATGTATATTGAAGCCTCCCCCTCCCTGTCTAGCGAGTCCGTGGAATTTGGAATTTTTCCTTCTCTCACGACAATAAGCCCAGCCGGAGTCACTTCTCAGCATTCGTTGTTGCCAGGCTTGCTTTAAATATTCGTAATATTTATACACTAGAACACTCGGTCGTGTGGCAACGAACTTTAGGAAAAGAAAGTAAATTTTTTTCCGTCAAAATAAGGAGCAAGAGGGCGTTCCTCTCGTTACCGCTCACTACCTGTGCTGCATAGTATTTAAACATGGACGAATGAACGCTGGCAAATAGATACTTCACAAAAACAGAAATGCGCATTGAGCCTTTACGGGAAGAAATGTTGATCATGAGCCATTGTGTAGATGCAACGTGTCCAACATTTGTTGCAGTGAATTGGAAGCCTGTATCTGTTTTGTCGTCATTTGACATATATTTGCCTGAATGTTTAAAAAAATGTTGGATCCGGAATTGAGGTTCACTGGTTTTTTTTTTTAAGAATCCAGGTATTGTAGAATTAAGCCGCCGTATAGTCTTTTTGGGGAGAAGAAAATTCTCTAAATACACTTTACTGCAATATCTGGAAAAATAAACATGCCAATCATTTTTTTCTCTTAGAGCCTCCTCCGTCTAGGTACCATGTGACTCTGCCAAAAGCCTTTAGATTTGTTATGTGGCTTGACACCAGTGGCGTATGCAGCGGCGGCAACTTGCAACCAACCGACGGGTTGTTTAGCCTGTTTGTTTTAGATTACGTCATAGGTGAGTAAGAAAAAGTAATCAGTATATTTCCAAGTATTTATCAAACATGAACAAACCCTCAGAAAACAACACCACGAAATTGAAGCAAGGGAGTTGGGACTGTGAGTAGGCCTAAGGCTTTCGACATTTTGTCTCCCTACCATCATGTTGAATAAGCATTTTGCTTTTGAATTTGCCCCCCAACACACACATCGGGCAGGATACACCACTGTTTGAAATCGTAATTCCAAAATAAATCATGAATTTATATACAATAAAAAAAGCAGCAGTGTATCGTTGTGGGCAATTTCTATCCAAACTTACGTCCTTCAATCGGGATTGTGCCTTTCTGATTACCATCGATGCTGTAGATCACAACTCGTTTGTTCCAGATTTCAGCCAATGAAACGTCATCAGGCTGACGAGCAGCAATGCCCCAAGCCCCAAAGAACTCTCCTGGACCGCTTCCCATGCTACCAAACACAGATCGCTGCTCCCACTTTTCTTCCATCATCACCTTGCCCAGACTGATGTCACCTACCCCCTCACTCGGNACAGAAACTATGCAGACAGTCCAGTATCTTGGGTCGTTGGAATCTCTCACTACAAATGGGGCAATCGAGATGATGTCTGCTGATCGTCTCTAGAGCTGAACTCACTGCTGATCCTGTTGCCATTTTCTGGTTAATAGAAAACCATTAAAAGGCCTTGAATTAAATGAAAATCAACATTATTCACCATCGATAAACGAAACGAAAGTTGGTTGATACGGATTAAGTCTACTAATGTGTATGAAAACTATCCATGGGTAAATACATCGTTTACGTCAATGACTGTCAGGGTAAATTCCTGTAGATCATTTAAATAAAGCCCCAACAGGTTTTCCTGTAGCAATATGCCTTCATCAAGCAGGGTGCTAGCCAAAGCTTTGGTTTAAATTCATGCAAGCCAGTGGGGGGGGGGAGATTGCCTGCGTCTTTGGGGAAATAAAAGAAGTGGTATCGGCGACACCCGTTCATCAAAAAAAATTAACTCTTGTGCATTACGTCATAGAAAAATTGAGCTTTACAGGTGTCTTTCTTTACTTTTGACGTTTAAAAGTTTTGATATTGAAATGACCTATTAATAACACACAGTGGTGTTGTGCGCCTTACGGCGCGGCGCTTGGATAATTTGGCGGCCCATCCCCATTTACCAGAAAGTGTGCGGTGTGTGTTCAGACCCCCAATTCCCCCAACCTCTACAGTGTAACGCTCATACATTAACTTTAAGTTTGTCGTGTATTTCAATACAGTAGACCTAATCATTCCTTGATGAAGCAACGAATCGGTTGGTACATTCATAACCTGACATAATTACTCCACACAGCTAAAAATCGAATGAGGCTGAGGTGAGTTGATGTGTCTTGTTCAACCCACCGGCCATCCCGTCCATAAGGAACCAGCGAGCTTCTTTAAAAAAGGGCTAAGCTTTCCCTCCCCCCGTGGGGATATTGCTGACACGCCCCTCCTCTTCCCCAACTGCCATGACCATGTTAACTCACACCCTGCCTTTGCACTTCCCGATGGAGAATGAATAACATTACCACATAACAACATGTCCACCACTGTCCCTGTTGTGCTTTGGCAAGCATCAATCACTGCACGTTTGCTTCATCACAGAGAGCACCTTACATATTGTTGTTCCCATGGCTAATCCAGAACGTTTATTGAGCCTCTACGTTCGCCAACTTACCAATCGTATCTGATGGTTGTGCCACGGTGAATTTTATTTCGGTCAAGATATCTCTCGTTGGAAAAAGAATTATTTTAGCGATCCACTTCCTTGAACATGACCTCCACGGTAGGCAGCTATGTGTCGAGCCACGTATACACGGAGTCTATGTGTTTGTGTCGTTGTATTATTGTAAGCAACAATGTCACAGGTTGGCGACCTTCAACTTCAGTGCGATGCGAGGCTGCGTCTCCAAATGCTTGACTACGGCTAGCAGTTAAACGAACCGGTTGATATGTTTTTGCTGCAGCCGCTGTGCGGTGGCTTGCAAAGGCGCACATTATTTCAAGCTGCAGCCGTAACATTCGATGGCAGGGTACGGACTTTGTTCAGTCAGCGAGTCATAACATCACCCACTCTAATTGATTGACGCATGTGAGCTTGGAAAGGAAAGTTCTATTGTGGAAACAGGATTTATAGTACAGGGCACACAGGATGCCATGTTAGACCATTCACGATACAAGAGCAGACAAACCTGCATTTTGAACGCCTGGATGAAAGTCTAGTACAATCAATTCAATACAATCTATGCAGGAAAGAAATATGTACATGTATGTCTATTGTATTAGACATGTTGGGGGTACCCGTCGGTGTCATTTCTTGCTGGGTATACGGTAAAAGCCGAAACTAGACGAACATTTTTTCACATGACTGCAGGTGGCTATAAGATAAGAAACTTAGAGCGATAGAGCTACTTTTACGAATGTTTCTAATATTATATCAAACTTTTGCTCACAACACTAACTTCGTTATGTCAAATCAATGGAACACGGAATCCATCGACTACAGGTAGGTAAAACTGTTAGCAACCTTTTACAATCTCATTTTCACGTAAGCACGGGGAATGAAAACAAAATAAACGAGCATGAACACGGAGAGATCTAGGTACGATATCGCCGGACGTAAAAGGTAGTAAAATCTTTTACCAATTTCTACTGGGGTGACTTTTCCTAATATTGGTTGAGGAAGTCAAAGGTAAAATTCCAGCATGAGTGTTTCATTGAATGGCCTCAGGATTTATCCTTCCAAAATATATGGTACGTGATAGGACGGCCCCGACGGTATAAAATCCCCATAGGCGGACCCCCGAGGGTTCCGGAAGCCCGCTGCGTGACCTCTTACTTTCAGGTTTTATTTGGGATCGACTTGGGATCGACTTGGGATCGTCTTTAGAACATTTTTGAGCACGTGATGTCAATTGTCACACTGTGTAGCAAAGAAGGGGTTAAAAATGTAATTAAAGTTTTATTTAGCCGGCGTCGGTCTACGTAGTGGCCTATCGGGGTGGGTTGAGAAACAGGATTTAATGCAACTCCCATAGGACTGTGTGCTATGTGGCCCCTTGTGTACAATCTAATGGATTATTTACAAAACAGTGCCTGGGGCAGAAAGTGGAATGTTTCTTATCAGTGACAGCTGTCTGGAACTTGTCAGAGGCCTCTTTCGGCTGTCTTTGAAGGTTATTTTGGTTGGGGGGTGTTGTGGTGGAAGTGCGGCTTGGCTGGCGCCTTTGCGAGCGCCCCCCCCCCAAAAAAATCGGGATAGCCGGGGATTACGCCCCCCACGGTACTGTGATGTACCTTTGGTGGTTTTTAAGAACTGTAAACGCTAGGGAACAACCACTGAAGCATTTATATACTTTTAAGACGGACTCAGGGCTCTGCAACCCTGAGACATGATACGGACTCACCTGGCAAGGCCGCTCCCGAGACCGTGTAAAAAATTTCATACCTTGTCCCAGGGTTTTAAAGCGGGTTTGGAGATGTCTTTTTTATTTCTGTGCCGCATTAATAAATGTCAATATAGTGAAATAGGTAATAATGCATGCTATTCCTTTCTCCCCGCTGATCCAAAGTGGTCCAAACCTTTTCCTCAAAGTGCTCATTCTATTGATGTTGTGAAAGTTCCCAGAGGGCCAAATGTTGGCCACACATTTTAACAATGGGCACCACCTACATCCCATGTAAAGGTTTTATTTTGAAAAAAAAAAAAGCAGTTCGGACTTTGGTGCTTAATTGAAATATAAAAGACGCCAGAATCTTACCTATAACATTGATATATAAATAATGTTTTTAAAAGCATCTATCTGAACAAAAATCAAAATAAATACACCACAGTCTAAACGGGCTTGAAAAAATAACCCCTTTTCGATGCACCGAAGGATTTTTCCGTTGAACGAAACCTTCCTTGAGGGCGCTATCATTGAGTGCTTGAATGGCTAGCTAGCTGCGCGCGTGCTGTGCATGTGACGTGTCGACAGTTCGCGCATCGCGAGATCCACTCATCTGAGCTGAGGCACATGTAAGGCCATGGCTACAATAATCCGCGGTATTTAATGCATAATTTGTTTTAGAATTTAAAAAAAAGAGAGTGGCTTTTTATTATCATGTAATTACCAAGAAGATACACTGATATCTCAAG